TTTTACCACCATTTTACTCTCTCTTGATTCGACTTTCTCATCCCAAACAGTCCCTTTTAGTTTTCCTATATTTTACTATACCAGAAACTTCTACTTCCTTAGTCCACATCAGAATTTCAACATATCACTCTCTCCTTCCTTAGCCCAAAACTCGTTTTCTCACTCTTTTATTTCTTCCCTCACTTGTTCTCAAAAGAGTTAAAAACACTTCATGAAATCACAAATCTTTTCATCAAATACTAGCCGATGATAAAATGATAAAACTATCCCTAAGATTCTTCATCATTATGTGGAAAAGAACAAAAAGCAAGAAACATGGAGATTTTGTTTAAGGATATCAGGCCAAGCCATTTTTTATTAACATAATAACCCACATTTATTCAATTAATATTGCGTTGCTCTTACTGCTTTGGGTTGTTTCAAGCGACGGAAAAAAAATTCGATTAAAAAAAATTAATCTACATGCTTACATAGATAACTAACAGTTAGTTAATAATAATTTGAAATTACACTTTAAATAGAGAAAAATGGAGAACCAAAGTTGATAGGTGAGGAAAATGCGTTAGAGTAACTTTTTCACCCTAATTTGTTCCACAATCCCCGGGGGTGGGCGTTCGGGCTGTTTCGATTGGATATGAATATTTCGGTTTGATTTTCGATTTTTGAATTAAAGAAACGACAATGCAAATAAGCTCATATTAGATCAGCTTTTTTAAGTTCGGTTTCTGATTAACCGGTTTGGATATTTTGAATTTTCGATTTTGAGCTTATAAATTGTGATGTTTCTTCTTTTTTACTAAAATGAATATCCAAATGAACTACTCATGTTAAATTGCCTGAAAAGTTCCTCATTCTCACCACAATCATTTTAATAAAGTATTCAAGTAATGAAATTATTATCAAGAAAATATAACAAAGACAATAATACGGCCGATAAGATGTAACACTAGTAAAATCATGTCCAAATAGAAAGTATTCTGATAGTAACTTAGTAATTAATACTGAATATGTGAGATAATGTCTAATGGATAGGGTATTAAATTTAGGAATTTTTACCTCCTATAGCAAAGGTTAACACCTTATTTATTTTTAAATAAATACCATTTAAAAAAATTATATTCTATAGATACCTTTTAATGTTTATAGCAAAATATCTAATTTTGGTTACCTCCTACCCCTAAGCCACTAAAAACGCTATTCAGTTATACTATTTTCTTTCTCTCTCTACTTTGATACATGTCATTCTCTTCCCCCATTTCCTGAAAACACGATGCTCTATCTCAAAATTCCTCTCACCCACATCACCTACCATTAGTCACAAACGGTGATTTTGCCTGGTATACCACGAAGACTTCTCTGACTTTTCCCCTCAATTTTGTGCAACCCAAATGGAATCCAAAGGAGATAAAGCCTCCGATCGGCGCGCACAACACAGCAAATCCACGAACCTTTCTCAACTTCCGTCATCTTCAATACAAGATTTGTTTTCGTGTGGGAACAGTGTAGTTACATCCTAATCTTCCAACTTCCGTCATTCTAGTTACATCCTAATCTTTCACCTTAAATAGCTCCTTAATTTCTGCTTTTCAATTCAGAAAAAAAAATCATGGGAAAAGGAGGGTGGATGTTTTCCTAGCAAGAACAAGATTGCTAAAACCACAAACAAATATGCAAATTCTGCTACAATGGTAATGCGTGGGAACAGTGAGATTCAGGGTTTTTGCTCGACGGCGGATTCGCCGGAAATTTGGATTTGTTCTTGAACAAAGACGACGGAGTTTGGGGCTGAGCAATTTGATTTTCTGTTAATATATTTCAATGTATTTTCAATGTATCACGCTGTATTTTCATGTATTTCATTGTATTCATTGTCTTTTTTTTCATTGTAATTCAATGTATCTCGCTGTATTTCATTGTATTTACTGTCTTTTTTCATTGTATTTCAATGTATCCCGTTGTATTCTATGTATTTCAGGGTATTCACAGTCTCGCTATATGCCATGAATGTATTCATATATTTTTTTTAATTAATATAATTTATGTATTCAGATGTATTATATAATTTCTCTGAAGATTGCTATGTTTTTGGGGTATTTTTCGGTTAAGAATCTTTTTTATAACTGGAAATACAAAATTTGTGTGTTATAATTGAGTTTGTTGAGTTATATTAGGAGTCTATTATGTTAATTGATTCACTTTCCGTTTAAAAACAGTGTAATCCCTTATTTCACGCCGTGAATACAGTCGAATACAATAATCTGTCCAGATGTAATCCCATGTTTCACGCCATGAATACAGTCGAATACAACAACTGATTAGCTGGACTTCCCTGATTCACGCCTATTTTTGCTACTGTATTCATGAATACAGTAGCTTAAATACATCTAATACATCTTATAACAACAGAAAACGTATCTACAATCCGTCATATAGCAAATGGTATCTATAGATAGCTAATTACCACTAAAAGATAGTGCTTTATGAAAATTTCTCTTAAATTTATTACTATTGGTATTTGGATAATGGACTAAATATAAAGTATAAATATTTCGGATTTTTGGATATATACGAAGTACCAAATCCAATATCCAATATGAAATCCAAAAATTTTAAAAATTAAATCTATAATCCAATCTGTAATCCGAAAATCCGAACCAAAAATCTAAAAAATTCGGATTTCGATTTCGATTTTGGGTTTGCCAAAATTATGTCCATCCCTCTTCACAACCTTTAAACCCATTTCGCATAAATTATTTTTTCCACTGTTATATTCCCCAAGAGTTGTCGTTTCTTCTACACTGACGAGTTTTGTGTTAAGGAAACATAAAGTGATGTCTTGGAATTCTGACGTTGAGAGTGAAGGAAAAGTTTCGGGTAGGGTAAAAAAAGGAATATTAAAAGGGGTTGTTTGGGATGAGAAAAACAATTAGAAGAGAGAGAAAAATGGGAGTAAAAGTAGGACCCACTAATCCAAATGTCTAGCTTTGAAGAGTCTCACACAAATATGACATGGCATGTAAGACTCAAAGTAAAATTTCTCCCAAAGCAATGACATTCTTTAACGAAGTGTATCCCTAGCTGAGTGGGGTGTCGTGACTCGTGACCCTAGATGCTCTAACATTTGAAGTCTATTCCAGCCTTGACAGCTCATTTTACTAGTAAAAAAGATCATAAGGTGTACTCATCGTGTGTGTTTGGGATGACACGAGTCATTTTTCAGATATTTTCCGTCATATCAAATACATAGTGGTGGATGCAACCCTTGTGCTTTAAATGAATGTGCGGAAAAACTACTAACATTTCAACAGATAGCAAATCTAAGCGCATAACTTCAAGAGTATAACGAGTTCGGTGTTAAAAATATTAAAAGTTGAATTCATTAATTGTAAAATATGAATCCACCCCTACAAATATATATCTATTACCAATCACCAAGCATGAAGAACTCGCCAGCAAGTATAATGTGTTAGAGGAGGCCTATCCTTACCAAAGTTGTTGAACGAATTGAGAATAAGACGGAGTAAGGTATAGGGAGTGTGTATTGTCTATTGTTGTATTTGTATGCTACATCAAGTCAAAATGAGTTTTTTTGGATTTCTCATGTGTTCGATATTCGTATTAGGGCTGTATAGTCCAAATTTGGACGACCACAGCCATATGACAAAGGCAACGGAAGATGAGATCTTCATAAGCAAGACGTCCTACGAGGGACGACAGATAGCGGATAGAGGACGAATAGCTGTTGTAGTAGTGTATGCCCAATAAGGGGTATCTGGAATATTCTCACGAATATTCCCTAGGGTATGTTTTCTAGGGTGCAGAAAGGGGTTAGCCCTTATATATAGTGGAGAAAATACCTAGTAGGGGGATCTTCTTCGGTTTTTTGGACCTTTTCAGTTGAAAGCAAAACTTGTAAAATCTCTCCTATATTGAAGATTGTCATTCTCACTGTACAATTATCGCCTTTTTTATAAGATCAACAAATACTTTCCATCGTGTTCATTACTTGTGTCTTCTGTTCTAGAGTTTATTATGCTTAGCTGAGACTTACCCCTTCATTTTCTTTGATTGATTTGTTCAATAAGGTTCCAATATCTTTTGAATCAAACAATTTGGCGACGTCTGTGGGGATTTCTTTAGCTGAGACTTTAGTTTCATCTAGATCCTTGAAAGAAATAATCACCTCTTCCTGGCCTCGCAAAGATCAACAATGGCAGGAGAGGAGGAAGCAAGATTAAAAGCGATAGTAGGCGTCACTAGCAACCTTATGGATTCTATCAACGAAGCTGGCCGGGAAGACAATGAAAATACAACGCCAGGCGCCACACCCGAGGGACATACCTCACCCCACCCCCCCCCCAACGGCGTGACTGTCATGCGCGAGAGGGAAACTTCAATATTCACAGCAGGAGAAGCTCCACCGACTGTGAAAAGACTATTAGAAGAGTGGTTAACAAACACCTTGAGCGGTATACTCAACAAACCTGTTCAAAGGGATATCGGAGGCACAATGCGCGCTGACACCACAACTATCACGATGAGCCAGAAACTCCACGCGCAGGTAATGCTCACACTGACAATGATGCAGGTAACGAAGCACTTGCATCCATCCTAAAGAAAATGGAAGAAATGGAAAATGAGAACAAAACACTCCGTGATCAGATGAAGGAACACCAAGAAAGGGTCGATAAAATACCGGGCGCTCCAAAGATGCTACCAAAACGAGACGTCTGCCGATTCATCGAGCAATCCTACAGTGAAGTGGCAGCCCCCCATGCTATTCCAAAAGCCTTCAAAATGCCGCCATATTTAAAAATATACGATGGCACCATAGACCCAGAAGATCACATAATCCACTACGTCACGACAGTGAAAGGCAACGATCTGTCGAAAGAGCAGGTGTCATCGCTGCTGCTGAAAAAGTTCGGTGAAACCCTGATAGGGGAGCACTGACATGGTATTCCCAACTGCCGGCACGGTCGATATCAACGTTCGAAGAAATGGCAGATAAATTCGTCACCGCTCATGTGGGAACGAAAAAGGCAGAAGCCAGGGTAAACGACATCTTCGCCGTTAGACAAACGGCAGGCGAGGGACTTCGGGATTTCCTAGCCCGATTCAACAGGGTAAGAATGAGCCTACCCAATGTATCGGAGGGGATGACGGTAATAGCCTTTCAAAATGGGTTAAATAGAAACGGGTCGAAAGCAGCAAAAAAGCTGCTAAGTAGGCTCATGAAATACCCTCCCACTACCTGGGAAGAGATCCATAACGCATATTGTGCCGAAGTAAGGGCAGATGAGGATGACTTAAATGGTCCGATGCAACGGCTAACCTCAGTACAAACCAAAATAAGGAGAGACCGCCGTAACGACGGTCGAAGGGACCAACTATCCCGTTTCAATCGAGAGAGGCATCAGCCCTACATTCGGACATCCATCCCACCTCCACCACAACATGCAGACGTCACGCCCCGACGCACCGTGCCACAGCGGAATGAGAGAGGTATGCCCCCATTATTGTCTACTCATAACTTTTGTGTTTCTTCTTCAGAAATAGTGTATGCACTAAAAAAGCTCGGCACGAAGGTGCAGTGGCCGCAAAAAATAAAGTCGGATCCAAGCACCCGGAGATCGCACGTTCTGTGCGAGTTCCATCAGGAAAGGGGACATAAGACCGATGATTGCATAGGCTTGCGACAGGAAGTGGTAAGAATGCTGAACCAAGGACACCTGAAAGAACTGTTGAGCGATCGAGGACGGGCTAACTTTGCTCGTGGGCGCGATCAACCCCAAGGACCCCCAAAACGACCTTCACCGGCTCGTGTCATACAAATGATCATTGGCAGCGGTGATGATACAGTAATCAACCATGTGAAGTTCACCACTACACACAAATTCAGGCGAACAGTCGCTCACGAACGGTATGATGACCTCGAAGATAGTATCATTTTCGATAAGTCAGATACCCACGGTTTGTTTTTCCCTCACGATGATGCTCCGGTTATAACTTTATGTATTGCGAATACCGATGTAAAAAGAATAATGCTGGATGACGGAAGCGGTGCGTGTATTATCCACCCACGAGTCCTCGCACAGATGAGACTCGAGGATAAGATAGTACCGCACTGCATAACACTAACGAGTTTTAATAAAGCAGTTGAAAGAACCTCAGGAGAGATAATGCTGCCCGTTCTGGCTGGAGGAGTCACTCTGGAAACGACTTTTCACGTCATGAACCAGGAAACAGCCTACAACGCTATCATAGGACGTCCATGGATACACGCCATGCGAGTCGTCCCTTCAAGTTTCTACCAAATGATCAAATTTCCTACCCCATGGGGAATATTCAGCATCCAGGGCGAGCAACGTACCGCCCAAGAATGCTACCGCATCGCCCAAGATTGCACGCACACCCAACAACTAAAGGGAGCGAGTGCGGAAGCATAGCAATCAGCCATGTCGGAAACCAAACCGGACATACAAATGGAGGCCATCAAAGATCCAGATGTCGTAGAGTCCTGCAAGGCAAATGTGGAAGACCTCGACCCCGTTCAATTGGACAACAATGACAGCACGAAGAAAGCTTATATCGGGCACAATCTCTCAGAACCAGGTAAGTTCCATGAATTCTTAACTAACAATGCTGATCTGTTTACCTTCTCCCATTCAGATATGCTGGGAATCCCAAGGGACATCGCCACACATCGGCTGAATGTCGACCCTCTTTACCCGCCAGTGCGGCAAATGAGGAGAAAGTTCAACGCTGCAATCAATGACGCAGTTAGCGAAGAAGTCGATAAGCTACTCACTAATGGTTCCGTCCGAGAATCAAAGTATCCTGAGTGGGTCGCCAATGTGGTCATGGTAAAAAAGAAAAATGGGAAATGGCGGGTGTGTTTCGACTTCACCGACCTAAACAAAGCATGCCCAAAAGATTCCTTTCCACCACCACACATCGACCAGCTCATCGATGCAACTGCGGGGCATGAACTATTAAGCTTCCTAGATGCCTATTCTGGCTACAACCAAATCCTAATGGCAGAAGAAGATCAAGAAAATACCAACTTTATCACCCACCAGGGGACATACTGCTACAGAGTTATGCCGTTCGGACTCAAGAACGCAGGGGCGACGTACCAAAGGTTGGCCACCAAAATATTCAAAGAACAACTTGGAAAAACTATGGAGGTCTACATCGACGACATGTTAGTGAAGTCAGAAAAGAAGGAGGATCACATTAGTCATCTGAAGGAGGCCTTCGAAATATTGAGGCAATACGGAATGAAATTGAATCCAGAAAAATGCGCCTTTGGCGTAGCCTCGGGTAAGTTCCTCTGTTTTCTAGTATCACAAAGGGGTATCGAGGTCAATCCGGACCAGATCAAGGCCATCGAAGGAATACCGGAGACATTGACTAGCAAAAAGCAGGTACAGAAATTGACGGGACGAATAGCCGCCCTATCGAGGTTCATCTCACGGTCGTCAGATAGGTGCCATAAATTTTTCAATGTACTGAGGAAGGATCACGGATTACAGTGGAACTCGGAATGCGTCGACGCCCTAAAGAAATTAAAAGCATACCTATCCTCACTGCCAGTACTGGTCAAGGCAGATCCAGGCGAATGCCTCCTGGTGTATCTAGTAGTCTCCGAAGTCGCGGTAAGTGCAGTTCTGGTCCACGAAAGCAAAGGTACGCAGTCTCCAATCTATTATGCTAGAAAAACCCTAATTGATGCCGAAACAAGGTACCCCCACCTTGAGAAATTAGCTCTGGCATTAGTCGTAGCTTCACGAAAGCTTAGACCCTATTTTCAATGTCACCCCATAAAGGTGGTGACAACCTTCCCCCTAGGGGCATCCTACACAAACCCGAACTATCGGGCAGGTTAGCCAAATGGGCCATAGAATTAAGCAAGCACGATATAACATATCAACCGCGAACTGCGATAAAGTCGCAAGTGCTCGCCGACTTCGTTGCCGATTTCAGTGCGGAAATATCGCCTGAAGCAGAGCAGGAGGCGCTCTGTGCGTCATCTCCCTCCGAGCTATGGGTCCTCTATACCGACGATGCATCTAACGCGTCGGGCACGGGACTGGGACTCGTCCTCGAAGTCCCTACAGGAGAAGTGATTCGCCAATCCATACGATGCCCCGAAATGACTAACAACGAGGCCGAGTATGAAGCTGTGATTGCAGGATTGAAATTAGCCCTAAAATATGGCGCTCGACCACTCGTCTTACATTTCGACTCCCAACTCGTGCTGAATCAAGTCACTAGGACTTTCCAAATCAAAGAACCGAGACTACAAAAGTACCAGTCATAAATCCGCAAACTACTACCAGAATTCGATGAATGCCGCCTCGACCAGATACCTAGGGCGCAGAATGCCGAAGCTGACGGCCTCTCCAAGTTAGCGGCAGCCACCAGAAATATCAACAAAGAAAACGTGGTCACCCTCCTCCATTCCTCGATAGACCAGGTCGGGGTACATTCTATAAATCTGACTTGGGACTGGCGCAATCGTATTGTAACTTATTTGCAGGAAATAACGCTCCCGCAAGATAAGAAAGAAGCCAAAAAGCTCCAAATACAGGCGGCCAGGTACAGCCTCGTGAATCACGACCTTTACAAAAAGACGTTCGGTGGCCCCCTGGCCAAATGCCTCGAACAAAACCAAACGAAGCGGGTATTAGAAGAAGTCCACGAGGGGCACTGTGGTGCTCATACAGGAAACCGTGCCCTCGTCAGATGCCTCATCCATGCGGCATACTACTGGCCCACCATGAAAACAGAAGTCGCAGACTACGTCAGGAAATGTGAATAATGTCAAAAATACGCCCCTATGATACACCAAGCAGGAGAACTGCTGCACTCCGTCATTTCGCCATGGCCGTTCATAAAGTGGGGGATGGATATTGTCGGACCCCTTCCAGCAGGACGAGGTAAGGTATGCTTCCTTTTGGTTTTAACTGACTATTTTTCTAAATGGGTGGAAGCAGGTGCATACACGCAGATACGTGAGCAAGAAGTTATCGCATTCATATGGAAAAATATAATATGCCGCTTTGGCATTCCCAAAGAAATCAGCTGCGACAACGGACCCCAGTTCGTCTGAAAGAAAACAACCGAGTTCTTTGAAAAATGACACATCAAGCGAATACTCTCCACACCATACCACCCCGCCGCCAACAGTCAAGCCGAGTCTTCCAATAAAACGATATTGAATATATTAAAAAAGAAGCTCGAGGACGCCAAAGGGTTATGGCCTGAGCTACTGCCAGAAGTACTATGGGCATGCCGCACCACACCAAAAACTAGCACAGGCGAAACTCCATACTCCTTAGTCTACGGGACTGATGCGGTTATACCCATCGAAGTCGGAGAACCTAGCCTGAGATACTCCAACGAGAGCGGACCGAGTAATGATGAAAGTAGATTACAAGACCTAGATGAAGTCGAGGAGCGAAGGGACATGGCTCACATAAGAATGGTAGCCCAAAAACAACAAGCAGAGAGGTACTACAACAAGAAAGCCAAAATACGACCACTCAAGGTCGGAGATTACGTTCTCAAAGCTAAAACACAGGAAGCAAAAGACCCTAATGAGGGAAAGCTGGGAACAAATTGGGATGGTCCATATAAAATCACAGCGTCAGCGAACGAAGGAGCGTTCCAGTAAAGGACAATGGAAGGAAAACTACTCCAAAACAATTGGAATGTCGCCCATCTCAAATACTTCCACTTCTGAAAAAAGGCGTCCCCTAAGTCGTACTCTTTTTCCCTCATTCGGGGTTTACCCCAATCGGGTTTTCTCGGTGAGGTTTTTAATGAGGCGGCAAGGGAGACGCCTCGAGGTCCGAAGTGTTGTTCATTACTGTCACGACCCTAACCCCGAACCCGGTCGTGATGGCGCCTCTCGTGAAGACAAGGCCAGCCAGTCCACCCCAATTCATCTTTAAAAATAGTTAACCAACACATAATATTTTAAAACATGATTTACTAACACTCAATAGTGGAAATAACAATAAAAATGCAGAAATCCAACCCGACACAGCCCTAACCGGGGTGTCACAAGTCACGAGCATCTATGAACCACAATACAGTCTGCTAAAGTCATAAACTACTACATTTGTTTGGAAAGAACAGGAAAGATAGAGAAATAGAGACATGGGGCTGCGGACATCAACAGCTACCTCGTGATCTCCGAAGAAGCCCGCCTGGAACTGGAGGAAATCAACACTCCGGAGCAGAACCAGCTACACCTGAATCTGCACACAAGGTGCAGGGAGTAAAGTGAGTACTCCAACTCAGTGAGTAATAAATGTAAATAATGGCTGAAAGTAAGAAATCACGCAAGGCGCTAAGCATTCTATGATGAAGCAGTAAAACCAGTGAAAATCCAGTAAAATCCTCTTTCAACAAATAAGCAGGTAAATGACAGATAATTAACGTACGGTAAATAAATAAAAGCTCGCCCCTCGGGCACAGTACCACCACATCCGCCCCTCGGGCAACATCTCAGAACAATAACAGCCGCTCGGGCTCAATCTCACATCACATTGGGTACCCGCGCTCACTGGGGGTGTGCAGACTCTGGGAGGGGCCCCTTACGGCCCAAGCGCAATAACAAGCCATCTCGTGGCATCACAACTAGGCCCTCGGCCTCATATCAATCAAGCCACCTCATGGCATACATATCTCAGGACCTCGGCCTCAAATCAGTATCAGTGTCTCCTCACAACATAGGCCCTCGGCCTTACTCAGTCAAAAATACTCACAAGCCCCTCGGGCAATAGTAGAACAATGTGTCTCAGCCCAAAACATCATTTAAAATATCATTTAAGTCTCAAAACTGAGTAAAAACCGGGTGAGCAGTAAAACAGTGGAAATACATGACTGTGTTCAAGTAGTAATTCAAAACAGTGAGGAAATATCAAGAAAAAGCCCCGAAGGGTTCAAATAATTGGCACGAAGCACAAATATGGCATTCAGCCCAAATCATAGTGATAACAAATAAGTTTCAGTCAAATACGCGGTAAAATCATCAACCGGGACTGACCAAGTCACAATCCCCAATAGTGTACGACCCCACGCTCGTCAACAAGCGTGTGTCTCACCTCAACATAGCACTACGATGTGCAATCCGGGGTTTCAAACCCTCAGAACATCATTTACAAGCATTACTCACCTCAAATCGGCTAAATCCCTAGCTCGCGACGACTTTTCCCTTCGAATTGGCCTCCACGTGCGTCGAATCTATCCAA